GACGGCACGGGACACACCGAACCGACTCGAGCCACCGACCTCGCCTGACTGTCCGACGACGTCCGACGGCCGATAATCGGGTTGGTGTGCGGAGGCCTTTAGAAGGAGCTGTTTTTAATCTACAGAGGGAGCAGGTCCTCTTCCATAGAGGCCCTGATGTTGGACCACCACACTGACTCTATTTACGCCCTATTTAGGGTCACAGGTTGTTTTTTTTGTAGTTGCTCCTACCTGCTTGGAATGGGAGGGTGAGGCGGGGATATCGCAATCTGCAACCACACCGCTAGATGCCACTAAATCCTACACACTGGTCCTTTAAGCACATACACTAACCTGCAAATGACAAGGATCCACCAGTAGATGTCACACTCCCACTGCTCAAATAGAAAGAAAAGCAGAGCCACTGAGGCACTGGCATGGACTCCAGTTGCTATAGTAGGCGAAGAGGCGAGTAAGCAGGAGTTTGGAGTCATGGAATTGTAACTGGAAACTAGAATGACTTTTTAATATCACGTCTTTTTTTAAAATACGTTTATATATATATATATATGTATACATATATATCATTTTTGATTTGACACCAATTTCCTGGCTTGTGTTGATCAAAATCAAATCAGATCAAATGTCCACCTACCATTTTTTGTCCAGGAGGCAGATGCCATTGCACTTTCTGTGTTATCTTTTTTCTTTGTGGGACTTTTTTAAAAAAAGATTATACTTTTGGCACGTTTGCCTTTATCGAACAGTTGGTAGTGAAGTGTCAGACCGAAAACAAAGGGGGTGAGACGGGTTCAAAGGTCCTTGGCTGGAATTGAACTGGGGATGTTGTGGTCACGGGGCACTCAATGGAATATAATTACAGACATTAATATATATATATATATATATATATTTACTGTTGACCTCCACTGGATATTAGTGTCTGTTTGTCAGTCCATAAATCAACCATCATCAGTGAGAGACCACAGTGTGAGTGTAAAGGATACACAGGAGACCTTGGCTGCAGTTGAACATGGACACTCCTGAGAAGAACCCGGCCAACTCTACAGCAAACAGACCGAGGGTGACCGCCAACGCCACCACCAACCTGAGACACAGAGAGAGAGAGAGATCAGTGTATGGGTGGGGATGCATTTGTCAAATGTTTTCATACTCTGTGTGTATGTGTGTGTCAAATTATGTCTCACTTTCTGTCTTCATTGTCATACGCACTTTAATCCAGAAGACAGGCCTCACTGTTCCAAGAAAACTTCAAACGTAAACTCAAGAGTAAGACATGAACAAACCACCACAACGTACGTCACCGACAAAAAACGAGACGAGAGAGAACTGATGCGAAAACCCCGATCCGAAAGGAGGAGAGCCAAGGTGTAGCCCGTGAGTAACGTTGTTAGAAACGCGACAGGTCTCTGGGAGATCACGTCTCCGGGGATTCCCTTCTGTCCGACAACGCTGTTAGAAGAACAATTCACAATAGCGCAGTTTGATAGGTGGATAATAGCAAGAGCGAGTGTATATCAATCCGGGCGAATCAAGACGGTGCGCGCTACACCTCGCACTGGATCTATGCACGAGGGAAAGAAGTTTGAGTTTTGACTAAAGTTGTTTTATTATATGTGCCATACCACACGCTCTTACAAAAGTGACTCTGCCAAGACTGCTCAACACAGTCATAACGTCAAGCTGGTCGCCGCGTCGTGTGCTCCGACCTCTCTATACCGGCACCTCCACCAGTCTTTCCTTCACTCCGTGGCTTTTCTTAAAGCACATGCTCTGCTGTGTGCTCGCTTTCTCCATATCGATTTCTAACTTCCTATAACTTTATTATCCAGCGCACACGCTTACGTCCGAAATTGAGAGAGGACCGTTCGTGTTTTTTTTAATTTTTTATTCTTACACAGCACTGCCATCTAACGGCAATACTAAAACTGGGCCATAAACAATTTGGCATATTGTGATTATGATTTTAGGCTACAGGATAACAACCAAGAGGTTTATTTTGAGAGTCTGAGCTGCTGCTTGTTTAGGCTTGTAAGGAAAGATGCACTTCAAACACATTTTTTTCCTATAAGTACAATGCTTATTATAACCGTTATTATAGGACTGTCGTGGTGAGACCAGACAGGGTGGTTTTACATCGTCAAATGTGCAATATAAATATGCAATATAGTAACATATATATTGCTGTAACATAAGTGGCATTTTAACTTAACAATGTAACATGTAAATCATTCCTTAGGCAATGCGGCTGTGATATATCCTAAACCAGACCCTTCAAATCCCCCCCTCCCCTCCCCTCCCCTCCCATCACATCACATTTCTACAACGACTCGACTCCGTGCTTTGAGACAGAGCACAGGATCGGTGTGTGCGCAACAGCACGCAAGCAAGCACAGAAACCAGCCGACAGAAAATCTGTTGTAGCGGTTCAGCAGTCCAGGCCCAGGGTTGCTTTCCCTCAGTACGACAGACAGCCTGTCCCTGGCATCCCCCAGAATAAAAAAAATAAAAAGGGTTTAGTCGTTGTGTCGCTTGCATCGTGGAGGCATGGCAGAAGCGGAGTTACAAACCTTTACCTCTATCATGGACGCGTTGGTTCGCATTAGTGTAAGTATGACGCTCATATATATATATATTTTTTATTACGCTATTTATTTCAACCACGTGTGAATATTTAACGGGATATCACCGATTATCTTTTGTCCTCCGCCTTCATATGTAATCACACAATTTTAATTTCCTCTCGACCCATCTGAGTGCACAGGTTGCGTATGTGCTGAAGGAATGTGAGGCATTTCTCTGCTTTTGAACATTTTGGGTTTTTTGGGGGGGATTCAATTCAATTCAATTTTGGGATCAGGATCAAAGAGATGTTTTCGTCAAAGCTCTAGCATCTGTTGGTGGAAACATAAAAGCAGGGCCACAAATAGCATATACACCAAATCCCAAACGTTGTAGCAGATGAAGCAGTGTGTGTTTGACGTTTCATTGCCAAAATATGTCGGCTAGCAGTAGCAAAAAGCTTGCTTACGGGCCGCACAAGATGAGAAGGCAGAGATGATGCCCGTTGTCATAGAAACGGGATGCTGCGTTTAGTAGCTACCTGCAACACTGGAACTGGGCCTCCCAATCAGTAACACTTGCGTAAAACCGAGGCCGCAGCTACAAATCGGAGCAGAAAAAACCGAGAGCTATATTTATTTTATTGATTTGAAAATGTTTCTCTCCCTCTTGGATAAATATCTCCTACTAAGTTACCAAACCATGGTATCCTATGCCAGAGCTCGCTAATTCTATCTGCATTTTTCATTCTAGATACTGGCTAACACCTGAAGTCAGGGCAAAGATATTTTTTCCTCCAGATTTGCCCTCCCTGTGCTCTGTATGTCCAACATCAGCCTACGTTATCCGTGTCTGCTGCAGCTCCCCTTCTCGCTTTTTACTCCCACACATATCATATACGTTTCTTTTCAGGTCAGAGGAGGTGCAGAATGTAAAGAGCACTGGGTTCTTTATTTATTCTAGTGACTAAGAGTTATCGAATCTGACTCCTCATTCCGTTCCTCCTCTCCTCTCCTCTCCCTCTCTAGTCCAACATGAAGAGCATGGAACAGGAGCTGCATTGCCCGGTGTGTGATGAGATGGTGAAGCAGCCCATCCTTCTGCCGTGCCAGCACAGTGTCTGTCTGCTGTGTGCGGCTGAGGTGTTGGTACAAAGCGGTTATCCTCCTCCAGACCTCCCTCCAGAGCCCAACTCGCCGGCCTCCACACCCAATACTCGCTCCCCTCGACAGGCACGAAGACCCACACCCAGGACCCCTGACCGCCTGGAACGGGTCCTCAGAACAGGTGGAGGAAGGGTGTTTATGTGTGCATGTGTGTGTGCATCTGATGGGAATTTTAAGCAGCCTAGCAAGCGCTTTGCTCATATGTGAGAGAAAAAACTGAACGAGCTCAGCATTAAGCCACCTTAGAGTGACATCATCTTTTGAAAATGAAAAGATGATGGTGCGATATGACGCCACTGCCCTGTTAGTTTCATAGATGATGTAGCTGACACACCAGTATCCCACTGTACATCCAGCTTTGTGCATTCATGTCATGACTTATTTAAGCGCATGTAGAGCAAGGGCCACGGGGGCACAGAGACTCAAGGCGGTAAGGATCTGTCGAGCAGGTGTGCGTGTGTGTAAGCAGATAGTGTTTCCTCCACAGAGAACTAACCTTTATTTATCACTGTGCTCCCTCTCTATATATACATATATAAGGAGGGACAGCCAAGAGTTCTACTTGTTACTTTTTTCAGCAGTCTGTCTCTCCTAATTCCCTCATTAACTATCTGTATGACCCCATACAAATCTTCCTTTCTACAAACCCTCACTTTTTTTTCTCCCCTACCTCTCTATTCATGTCTCTTTCTCCTTCATCTCCTCTCCTCTACACACCTGCGTCCTTCTCCCAGTGTGCGGGACATACCCTGGGCGGAGGCGGAAGGATGCGGCCCATCCCCCCATGCTGTTCCCATGTCCTTCCTGTCAGCAGGACGTGGAGCTCGGAGAGAAAGGCCTGACAGACTGCCTCCGCAACCTCACACTGGAGCGCATTGTGGAGAGGTATGCATATGCACAAACATTGTAGATGTAGTATATACTGTAGCAGGCGGAGTCACAGGCACAGCCAGGTGTAGACAGAGCTGAATCCACCGTCTCAAACATGACATATGTTGATTATTACTTATGATAATGTCTCATCATCAGCTCATTAACAGAAGTCAGAAACAAAGTAATCATGGGTTTGGAAAAAAATGCCTTTAACCAATCCTGCATGCAATGAAGAAAGGCAGCAAATGAAGGGCTTAGTCAATACTGCTTTATAAACGAGACAGGAAATCATTTGCTGGAAAGAGTTTCAATAATGAATCTTTCTTTTACTCCTGATCCAAGGCTAAACCTGAGAGGAGATTGCAGGGACAGCTCAAAAACTGCAGTGTACTGTACGACAATGACTGTGGTAAAACGGTTCTGCCAAAGTTTTGTGGAGGAAGTTTGGAGTGAAATACTTCACATCCTCCTTTAATGTTAATCACCCTCTTCTCTTATCAGTTCAAATAGTAAAGATCAAAGTGAGAGCAGCTGCTTTTGAAAAAAAAAAAAACTGTTCTGAAATGGGGAGAGAGAGTTATGGGGATAGGCAGTTTCCCAGTTTCACACGCAGCAGTTTGATGAGTGCAGCTGCTCTCTCCCCAGACAGTAGTTGTGTTGGTCAGAAAAGTGTGACGGTGCATGTTTTACTGCGCAGGATGCACTAACAAGGCAGCTGCTGGTGATGTATCCAGGTCAGGCAGTTAAAGAGTTGGAATCCTAACTACTGAAAAGAGAGCAGGGCAAACTGAGATGAGCTCAATCTTCATTCTTGCTTTCTTTTCTGCTGCAGAACTGCTTTAGCCCTGCCCTTATCTCCCTGTACCCCTGTCTGCCCTTTAGGTATAGGCACACAGTAAGTCTGGGCAACGTAGCCATCATGTGTGGCTTCTGTAAGCCTCCTCAGTCTCTGGAGGCCACCAAGGGCTGCGCTGACTGCAAGTCCAACTTCTGCAACGAGTGTTTCAAACTCTACCACCCCTGGGGAACCCCTCGAGCTCAGCACGAACACATTCTACCCACAAACAACTTTCGGCCAAAAGTTTGTCTCTTTTTTTGTTTTGTGCATCATAAACAGTAGCTCCTCTTCTATTGTCATTGTGCCTTAATCCTCTTTTGTGCTCTAGGTCCTAACGTGCACAGAGCATGAGCAGGAGAGACTGCAGTGGTACTGCCGTAACTGCCAGAGGTTACTGTGCCCACTTTGTAAGCTCCGTCGTGTCCACCATGGACACAAAGTGTTGCCTATTGCACAGGCCTACCAGGCCCTCAAGGTGAGTTTCTGTGTAGTCTGCTTTGACAGTGTTAAGATCCTGATGTTAGCATCTCTAAAATGTCTACTTTTGCGTCTTACAGGACAAGGTCACCAAGGAAATCAACTTCATCCTGGCCAACCAGGAGACAATACAGAGTCAGATCACACAATTGGAAGCTGCCATCAAACAGATGGAGGTGAACTATTTTTTTCTCTGTTTTGTCATAGTACCTGTAAGTGTAATCTTTGTACAGGTGCAACAGTATTTGTAAGAGGCTCTCCTGCAATATTTTGTTCAAATTCAAGGGAATTGACCATCCCATGTGGCTAGCAGGAATTCAAATATCAACACTGTGCTGCACATTACTTTTCTATTGAATGACATGTTGAAAGCAGTAAGTTGGCTTGGAATTGAATCCATGTTTCTTTGCAGAGAGCAAAATTTTTGACACTAATTGACAACATGCTGTAGTTTAGATGAAACTACCCTTTTTTAATGCTTTAATACAATGGGAATCCACCCCCAGCCAATTTACTTTAACTACAGCTGCAACTGAAGGGGCAGGTAGTATTAGTGGGCCCTCTAGAGGCCTGTGGCTCTACTGCAATGGCTAACGTCTGTGCTTGCAAATAGCTAAGACATTGTCTATGTGTTTTATCATTCCTTATCTGCCCACTCTTGGGGGTCCCCTCTGTCATTCTCTCCAGGCGAACAGCACAGTGGCTCTGCATCAGCTGACCCACTGTATCCGAGAGCTGGAAGCGGCTGTTGCTGAGCGTCAGGGGGCTCTGGCTCTGGCCCTGGAGGGATCCCGCAGCAGGAGGGAGGAGGCCCTGTCTGCCCAGGTCTCAGAAAGGCGAGGCCTGCTGGAGCATGCAGGCCTGATAGCCTACACACAGGA